CGTCACGTGGTTTGCGTACGATCCCTAATTATTGCTCTCCTCCTTTGCCGTGCCGCCGTCCCCTACCCCTCTCCTCCTCCCCACCGCGCGCATTTCCCGCGCCCCGCGCCTTTACTTTATGGAAACGTAAACAAGCAGTGAAATTCGGTGTCGGGATCGGCGTTTCTACCAAATACCGATAATACCTACTCATATTATTGATGATGATAGGATTTTAACCAGAATTTTAGAGTGGACATCGCTGCTTTTCGATATCAATCGCAAGGTATAGTGCTTGATTGTTTCCGGTCCGGAATATTGAATGGTTCCATTCCGGTTATTGTTGTAGGAGGTTATAACCTATGTAGTGTTCTTCTGTGGCTCAATGTTTACACGCACAATTAAGTTGTAAGTTATTTTTTGAGGCCGAGTAAATGATGCCCGTGATGTAAATAACTTGGCTCACTGTCAGCTTTGTTGAAAAGGTGTTGAATGGGTAGACTCCTCTAGTTCATGCAGTATGTTAAATACTGTTGTAGGTCACTTATGCAAATGGGTGAACTGCCAGTGTTTTCTCACATATCATATATTTTACTCTATATTATTCTCGTGGAACAGAAAACTTTATTACTTTCTGGTTGGGGTGCAAACCGAGTGGTACTATTTGCGTAATCCCCCAAACAATCAATCATTGTGTGTTGCGGCTAATTTGGAGCTGCCCCTTCGTACCCAATGCTTGAGTCCAGTGCCAAATTATTTATTTGAAAGACCATGGACATTTAGAGATGCATGGGGGGGAGAGGCATTTAAACGTGTATTGTATGAGTAATTTAAATGTAATTAATAGTTGATGAGCACTAAAAGTACCGTTTAATATGATTGCAGGAACTCGGTCCAGAAATGTTCTTGACATGAGCAAGGGAAGTCCATGGAGTCATTTTACCCAAAAGAATAGGTGAGTTGACATGACAGGTAACTGCCAACGCTGGTCCAATTTGTCTCTGTACAGACACTATGAGGAGCTTCCTTTCATGTGCATCAAAGTGTGGTTTTTGATGTTTAGTGTTGTGCCTTGGTTCTTTGTTTTCGATTTCAATCCTCTTCTGTCAAAATCCAGGCTGATTTGTTATCACTGAAAATGTCTTTTAAAAATCTTGGCAATTTGGAAAATTGCTGGAACTGGTTTAGATTGGTAGGGCAGACTCCCTTTTCACATGCTCTGTCTAAAAATATCATGGTGCCGACCCACTACAGCAGAGTTCTTAACAGTGCGCCTTAGGTAGCCTACATCCCTTAGTTAGAGAGACCAGCTCTTATAAAACTCAAGTTTCTGTGGACAGGGGTGGTGTCTGACGGAAGCAAAGGTAGTTTTGTGGTGCCTGGTTCACCCCTATCTATTTGAGTACTCCTCCGTCAAAAACCGGACCCATGCCTTTGTAAATTTTGCCAAAAATGAAAAATTTGAAAATCGCTGGAAATGGGTGGGTCCTTTCAATCTCTGCGTCGAAGTTTCACGCCGCCGGTTCATTTTAAGTGAGTTACACCTGTTTTTCTTGGACCGGTTCGCCTGCGAGGTAGGCAGCCCATCTTACGCTGCCCGCTAGGGGTGGTATCTGACGGAACCAAAGGTAGTTTTGTGGTCCCCTGAAAAATTAAAATCGCTGGAAATAGTCGGGATCTGTCAGACTGAATCCTCTTTCACGCTGAATCTCTACGTCGAAGTTTCACGCCGCCGGGGCATTTTCAGTGAGATACGCCTGTTTTCGGACCAGTTCGCCTGCGAGGTAGGCAGCCCATCGTACGCTGACCGCTAGATTCAAAAGACCACCCTTAAAACTCAAGTTTCTCTGGACAGGGGTGGTTTCTGAATTAATCAAAAGTAGTTTTGTGGTCCCCTGGGTCACCCCTGCCGAATCGACTTCTTTTCCGTCGAAATCCTCACCCATCAATTTTCGCTAAAAACACAAAGGCTATAGCCTTTGTAAATTTGGCCAAAAATGAAAAAAATAAAAATCGCTGGAAATGATTGGAAATGGTCTAGGAGAGTCGCCTTTGACCTCCTCTGTCGAAATTGCGTGCTTCCTGCCTCTTTTGCATCCTGTTTCTTTGACTATAAAATTGCGTCTTTGGTTTGTTGCAGGAAGATCGGCCTGGAGGTGCACCTGACTTGGACATCGGCAAAGCAGCCTATGTGTCACCTGCTGTATGCTGAGTTGGCGTCGCAACACATAGCAGGAGGAATTGCTCCTATTTCTCATGATCGCAGGAATGAATCTGGTAAGTTTTGACTTTCAGTGTGATGTTAACATAATATACCAGTACATTTATGGTTGTCATGTCTGGTAAAAATTTATTTTGGTATTGTTTCTATTTGGGGGTTACTTGTCATTTCTTTACCGGTTATTCTTATTCCATATGTACGGCTTATTACTTGAGCCTAAACTATATAGTAGTGTTTTAATTTTAGTGCGGAACTGGAGGCAAATCATTCGTAATCTTTGACAGTAATGCTGCTATTTATTTCATTTGTATGGTACAGTCGTAGTAAAATAGGAAGTGATGCTGCTTCTTATCTAAAGGGATGTGCCTGGGCCTGGACTTGATGCTTACCACCTGTAACATAGAAAGTTCATTCGATGAGTTGGCGTCAC